ACCATTAATCGAAGGATGGTATGAAAATTAGAACCACATATTCTGCTCTGCAGCTCAATCTAATTGGTGAAGCCAGCTCATAGCTCTCGAACTGGCTCTACAGCCTGGCCCCATTTTTCTGAATCTAAGCCATTCCCAGATTTTCCTAGTGCAATACTTGAGGCGGAGTTTTCCCCGAGAGATCCTCTTCACGCGCATGAAACTCTATTTACTCACTAATCTACTAGAATAAACAAGACGGTTTAAAACAGGTCTGACACCACAATGCCAATAAATAGTCATGCCTTTGTCCGTCTGACAAGAAACACCAACTCCCCAGCACGAAACCTAAACAATCACTTGCGTTTCAGCATGTACCAAATGCTTTAATCGACATGTGGAAACGCACGCTTCCTGGAAACATTTTCAAATTTCCCGTTACATTTCTGAGTAGCAGGGTCGCAAGGAAGATTGTATTGCGATATAAACTTGCAGCGGAGCATGCAGATAATGACGCACAAGGGACCTTTCACTAGTAAACCCACCTTGTGTCATGCTGAACAAGAAAACCTATCTTCACAATAAACACCACCATTACGCAATGTGCTGCTGGTTTCATGGCAATAAAGTTGTGCAAAAGCTTTTTGCGGTTCCGAAATGTATGCCACAAAAAACAAAATACACAAAGGTTCAAGAAGATTTTTTAGTTTTTTTTTTCTGCAACAAAAGTTCGACTTTCGTTTAGCACCTTCGTTGGGTCTGACACAGATAGGAGACACTTTTAACAAAACTGAGTCTCACCGCGGTGATAGTCCAGATGTGAAACTTTTGTTTCACATCTGGACTATCACTACGGTGAACATATAAAAATCAATATTTAAGTTGAATCATACTCGTTCCTTCAAATTTGATCTATTACTCAAGGGAGCAGTATACGGTGTTTTAATGGTAACGGATGCTCAAACCGAAAGGTCAAAATGAGGCTCAATAAAAATAATTCAAAAAAGCCAACAGGGAACAGGTTAATTTGGTTTCCCCTTGAGTGTCCCAATAGGACCTTGAGAAATATTCGGTAAAAAATGCGAGGAGTTCGAAAAAAGAGAACAAAAGAAAAGAATGAAACGATATAAACAAAAGAGAAAGAAAACACGAAGATCCATTTGATTTCGCACAGTGCGACATCCATGACGAAATTAAAAGAAAAAAATTATCCATCAAAATGTT